GAGTAAGAAACTACAAATCTGTTTCGGAAACTGCTGATAAAAATATAACTCGAAATAGAAATTTCGACAATTCGAGTAAGGAATTACAAATTTGTCAAGGAATAAGCAAAACACTGAAAAATTAAAAACTGGAAAAATAAAAAATACTGGAAATAATTCCGATTTTTACATCAAAAACTTATCAAAAGTTAAATCCTTATTCATTCTCCATGAGCAGCGGGGAAGCACTACCTGGAAGTAGCCTTAGAAGTAATACGTGAGAACAGCTTCTAAGCAACCATCCAAAGAGGGAAAGCCGGCAGCCCTGGGAGGGCCGTCGGTGCTCCATCCCTAAAGGGTTACTTATGAAGCAAGTTGATGGCGCTAAATCATATCAAGGTTTAAAAATACCAATTTTTAACTGAAATTTTACATTGCTGGATGTTCGAAGGCTTAAAATACCAAAAATTTTCAAACAGTGCGGGACTGCGAATCTAACTGCAAACGCGCGAGCATGTAAAAACGACAGACAAGTCCTGAGCATTCGTTCAGAACGATATAAAATACACAAAAATTTTTACGAATTAATTTTTTAAAATTAATTTTGCATATTCTGCATTTTCTCAAAAAAAGGCGAAATTCTTTTATTGGAGAAGCAGTAGTGCATCGTGATGTACCTGTGTCTCCTGGATATTCTAATGACATCTTCAATATCGGGAACTACGCCATTTTCATTATACAATATGTCCAAAGTTGTTGAATCAGCTTCTGAAACCGTTTTTTCTTTATACGGAAAACAGAACATGAGGATCGTGAACAAACTGGCCAGCAAACGAAGCAAAAGTGGCTAAAGGAACTGGTAAAACAGTCAACTGCATACAAGGAATGGTGCTGCATGTATTCCAAGTGTGGAAGTGAGAAATCGTAAATACAGAAAAATCGTAAATACGAAAAAAAAGTGGATCGTAAATACCAGGAATCGTAAATACTAAAATCAAAATCGTAAAAAAAAAAATTATGAATACCTAAAAATAAAGTCGTAAATATGGAAAATATCTCAAAAATCGAGCA